AAGTATTGAATCCAGGCATAGCCAGTTGACTCTCATACATCGAAGGAGGTCATCAATGGCAGGTCATAAATTGAGCTTACATGTTTGTCTCATGAAAGGTGTACTTTACTCCTGGCCCCGACCTGCCAAAACACGGCCCAGTTTGATCATATTAGTATAAAACCTATCTACCTTAAGCCAAGCAACCATGATTTCCATTGAACAAGACAGTTGGGAGTTCTGCAAACAAAGCTAACTGATAATGATAATTCTGTTTCTTCCACATATTCTGGACCATGAGACTCAGCTCAACTTACAAAGGTAAAGGTCTAACAAATAGTCAGAACTGCTGATACCTCCAGGCAGATTATTATTATACAGGATTTATATAGCGCCAATAGTTTGTGCAGCGCTTAATATTAATTAATTAAGATTAATATCCTGGAGTTCCCAGCTCTGCCTTTTTTTACTCAGCCAATGAGTACAGCTTTTTTACAGGCCAGGCTTTAGTGCAAGCTTTGAAGGGGCTCTCACTTTCTGAACTCCCTTTATCCTATTACAGAAAGTAAAAGCCAAACTGAGATAACAGAAGTTGCAATACTAGAGTTGTATATATGACTACATGATAGGGTAGAGATTATGAAAAGTGCGCCACTCTGAAAGCACACGAACAACACAAGTGTGTACATACCCTCAGGCATGTAAAGAATGTAGTATTCTGTATACATTTGAACTAAATTACTTAAATATAACTGACACCATAAGAGGTCCATTACCGAAACAGTACTCGACTATGCTTAATCCAAAACCTCGCAGAGGCAACTATCTACGAATTTTATCATAAGCCAAGCAAACATTCCTCCTTATGTTTCCATCTTGAGATGCATGTTCCATAATTCCCAAAAATAAAGTGATTAACTGTTTATTTAATGTTACTAGAAATAAATGGAAGCGTGCAATTATGTTTTCAGCTATAACCATTTCGTCAAGCACGCAAATATTGGAGTAAAAGTCTAAACATAGTATAATTCAACCATTTTATATCATAGGCCTACTTTGTAACACAGCTTTATGTTACATTTAATTGCCTGAACATATTTCTATTTATCATATATATTTTGTGTTTTTTCCTTAAATAAACTTAATTACTTTTCCCCCAGAGCGAACAGAAATACACAGGATGGAATATTTAACCAAGCATTTGATTTGAAAATGTTATTTTAAATGTTTTAGGTCAAGTCTGAATCGATGCACTGTCTGCAAAAAAAGAAAAACTTAATTACTGTTCAGCCATTAGAAAAATTATATTGCCTTTTCATGGATGACAGCTGGGTGACGTTTGGGAATACTCAAAGTAATTATCCATACAGTATACAAAATATTTTTGACAACTTTTCTAATTAACACATACTTGATTTTTGATGGACACCTTAAACCTCCTATGATACCAAACCATAAAATGTTGCCTGGCAATAAAAAAAAATAAAAGGATCGTTTTGAAAGATGTCATGCTACAAAGTTTTCTTGTTCCTGGCCAAACTGCATCAGTTGTAAGTTGCTCCTCAACAATGGTTTTCATGATACAAATATCAGAATTGGTTTGTATTGCGGGAAAATTATAGGGGATTGGATTGCAAATGAAGGGACTGGACTTTGTTAGAGAGCTTAAGTATGTCATGGTCGAACATTACTGTTTCTTGTGTGCAACTAGTAGCAGGTTAGGTTGTGACATGCCTCTTCCAATCAGCTCCTCAGAAAACCACTAGTATCAACTAACTCTCCCTCAACATGAATCCAAAGCAAGGCTATGGATTGAGATGAGCTATCACTTTTAAAATGCTACGCTGAAGTTTAATCTGCAAAGGAAATTCTATAATTGTTCGATATTTAGTCTTGGGTTTTTGTGTGAAGAAGCAGGCAGGGTGTGCAGGCAAAACACTCCTACCAAAGTCCAATATTTAGGCACACTACCATACTGTACTAGAACCCAATATCTAGACATTTTACCACACTCATAATGCCCTACCGCACCTCACCACAACCCACTCTCTACTCTACCTTACCACAACACAATTTTTACACACTACATTACCCTACCATAACCCAGACAGTTATCTAGATCTTCTACCATAACCTACCACAAGTTAAAATCTAGACACCCTACAACAACCTCTTAACACCCCACCATATGTTACCACATCCTATTATCTAGACACCCTACCAGGATCCAAAAGCTAGACACTCTACAGTACCCTACCAGAGCCCAATACCTAGACACTTTACTATACCCTACTACAACCCAATATCTAGATATGCTACCATACCCCTACCAAAATCCAATACCTATGCTCCCTACCATACTGTACCACAACCCAATACCTAGATAGCTGACCACATCACAATATCTAGGCCCTCCACCATACACTGCTACAACCTAAGCCCAAATCTAGATACTTTTCTATTTCCTAAAAAAACACTATAGCAGCCTACCACAACCTGTCACAACCCAATATCTAGACACTCTATCATAGCTAGCACAACCAAATATCTAAATACCCTATCATACCCCATAACACCATACCGCAGCACTATAACACCCTACTATACTCTACTCTTCAATACACAAAAAAACAAAACAGATTTTATTTTCTTAAAACCAGTTCTTAGCTGGGAGTCAATTTCAAGCTTAATGTTTTTTTCTCTCCTAGCACTAGAAGATACGATTAATGCATTCTTCCCAAAATACCTTTTTACTTCACACATATTTTTATGGCTTTCTCAGTACTCTAATAATTGAAATTTATCAGATGGAGTCTATAAAATATATTCTATTTTTCTACCTCAAAAGACCATTTTGAGAAGAGTCGACAGCAACCAGACAATACGGTACACTCAAGAAAAAAAAAAAGTTGAAAAAATTTGCATCAAAGGGTTTGAAGTTGATTGCTTCCAAGTGAAGACACTTTTCATATACAAATGTATTTTTTTTTTCTTCCTCACTCCACAAATGGTGGCATAACAGTAAATTTACATACACTAATCCAAACAATCTGTGCATGTGACAATAGCAAAACCTCACACAGGCTGCCTATTGTCGGTTTACATACCAGTGAGCTTTATGTTTGCTTGTAACGACGTTTGAGCTGTCAAAGGTTTGCTTTGGACTCTAAATAAATGGTTAGAAAAGCGCTGTGCGGAAATATTAGACTTTTCTCCAAAGAAAACCTGCTGTGTATGAATTCCAAGGCTATTAATTTTTCAGTCAAAAATATGCATGCTCGTTGCTCATAATAAAGAAGCACTGTGTGGAGCAATGAGGGAAGATAATGTTAACCTGCCTGGCAGAATTCGATCGAGGAGTTAAAAATAAATCTGCTGGGAGGTCCCAGGCAACAAAAATATTATTTAATGAAGAAAAAAAAAAGAAGAAAATAATGAAATGGGCCTAAAAGGATTACTAAACTATAAAACAGAAGTTGCCTAATCTTAAGATAACCGCTGGTAAAGTTGGCTGTACAGATGAGTTTTTAAGTGTTTATTTGCAAGCAATATAACCACAGCACATACTTTGATACAGAACACTCGATAAACAATTTTTTTGCGCAACACCTCCTCCCCAATTTAACCGAAGAATGAGGCAAGTCATAAAGTCCAATGACGATTTCATTCTTGAATTTGATATAATAGCTATAAACTCTCTTGCCGGGGCTGCAATAATTGCCAAACTGTAAGAATGTATATGGCAGGTACGTAGCAACCAAAAATTGTGATGGGGATGAGAAAGCTGGACTGGTACCTAATTGGTTGCTATGGTTACAGAGTAGTCCCCTTAAAGGGTACCTAAACCCCAAAAATGGGATATATTACAGCTTAACAGTCCTGAAATGTGGAGACTGCATTCGTTTTTAAGGTGGTGGTAACATTATTCATATCAATTTATTTTATTTTTTTGGCAAAAAAAATGTACATTCTCGGCAACTACAAAAAAATGTCTGTTGATCTACTTGGATATCTTGTGTTTTTTTTCCCCAGTTATCTTTTGTGAACTACAAAGCAACATCTGTCTATGTATTGGAGATGAGGAGGCGTTCTGTAGTCCCAATGAGGAGAGCAGCTTAGGATGACAATGTTGCTCTTCCATAGATACAGCAAATATTAAGCATTGTCACCTTTGGAAAGGAATTGTGTTACTGACAGGATCACCAGCTGAAAAGAAGGGGAAACAAGTCTGAAAACGGAGATTTCCCCTCACTGTCTGTCCCTGGGATAGGAAGCAAAGAGAAATCACCCCACTGGGGCCACAAATAGCATTAACAACCTGGCCGATGTTTTAACCAATCTTCATTCTAGAACAAAAATAAATAGTTTTGGCTTGAGTTCCATCTTAATAAGTAAGCTCAAGTGTCTGAGGGAACAACTAAAGGTGTTTGTTGTGAGGGGGAAATCGGGGCTGCCATTGACTCCTATCTTCTGAAAATGGTGTCTGGCTGATACTTCAGTGCAATGTGAGTCAGTGGAAGGAGTATGCAGATTAGTTGTGACTTCATTTGCTGCCTATAAGTTATGGGCTAGTGACACAGGAAGTACTAAAGCCAGACACAGCCAGGCAACTGACCTGTTTAAAGAAAGTCAGCAGTGGCAACCCACATAAAAAAGTAACCATACCTAAAGTTTATATAATACATCAATTAGCTGTTGAAGAAAGCTGGTCATTAGAGAAAAATAGGGCTCACAATTGATGACCATGCACCTAAAAATGCCCAACAACACAGAGCTGCCAGTGGCATCCGTATGTGTCAGATGTTGAAGATTCTACTGGCGGAGACTGGCTGCAATAGAGACAGTACTGGTAAGTATTCTATATCTACATTTGATATCTATACTTTCCTATGACAGGGCCTCTTTAAGTTTCAGGGCCACACAAAATCTTTTTCTTCCAATGTCCATTTCCATTCACTAGATGTCACAGTAGCTGGCACTTCCCAATCCACCAAGAAAATAAGCAAAGAAGTGGAACTTACAGGTTGAGGACTTGCTTTGGGTTCTGTTGACTTCACATGTAAATGCGTCATCATGGCTTGGAGGCGTTCTTTGTCTTTGGAAAGCTATGAAAAAATGAAAGCAGAAAATAGCAAGCTTTAGAAAAATAAAAGGCAATATTATTGATTCATGCCATTCATACAATCCAATGTTCTCTGTGGAACTTTGATGGAACGTTGAAATAGTGACGTAGGTCCTTGGCCCTCGTGAAGCTTATCAGAATTTGGCCATAAGGTTATCACATGAATTTGCAAAGGGCAAAGAACTAAGTGCAGTAGTCCATGACAACAGATCGGAACTTACACCTAAACCTGATGGAATTAGTTTAGCCAACACTGAACTCTACTGTCATTGTTTAGCTCCTTGCACTGTTTTATCAAAAACAAATACCAAAAACATATTACTTTAACATTGTACTTTTTCTAAAGATTGTTTGTCATGTGACATTTATTAATCCCCCATTTATTGATGTTATTGATTATTACCAAATCATGGGTGAGGTAGAAAACATACTCAGACTTTTTGTTTTGTTTTGGAAAGCCATTGGTTGGAATTTCTCTCAGGCTTTGTTGTGTTCTGCTTTAAAAATTACCTTTCAATTCCTGTCCCAATGACCACCTGTCTCACTTCGGGGGACAAATATAATAACACAACAAAAGGCTCTAACGCTTCCCTGCTCTCCCCTGCTGTACAACAAAATATTTCCCCCATTTCCTCATATCTATGACATGGTGGGTGAACTGCAGTCCAGCATACTAGAACTTGGCAGTGCTCACAAAGCTGCTTGGGATTTCAGAGCAGCATAGGCAGCTGTGTTGTTAATGCAACACTAAACTCAAAATACTAAAATCCTAAAAATGCACTCAGGTACCATAACTATTACCAAAAATGTACCTTATTTGTAATGTAGATCCTCAAATCATCTCTGAATTGGTGCTGACACTGTCCTTCCTTCTGGAGGGGGGCTACTTTTGTTCCCCATGGTCCCTGTGTGTGTTGTAAAGTAGCCACCACTCCAATCTCACTCCCGTGATGAACTACAATCTAAATATAAATTAGGAAACTACACATGAGATTGTAGTCCATCACGGGAGCAAGCTTGGACCGGTGGCTACTTTACAACACACACAGGGACCATGGGGAACAAAAGTAGCCCCCCTCCAGAAGGAAGGACAGTGTCAGCACTAATTCATAGATGATTTGACGATCATACAGTACAAATAAGATACATTTTTGTTAATAGATAAGGTACTTAAATGCATTTTTAAGATTTAACTTCAGGAGTTTACTTTGACTTGCTACAGAAAGTTAGGAGCTCACTGGATCTCTAGCTGGTTCAACAGAAATGTTTCTGTACTGCAGCAAATTTAAAGAAACAAAACAAAAGGAAATTGGTGTGTATTGCAGAAATGTACTGAATTTTGGTTTCTTTTAGCCCAGACATACATTTTAAAGTTGTGACAACCATCAGTCAGGACTAAAAAAGGAAAAAGAAAAACGATTGCGTGGAGCTAGCTCCGCCCAAAAGTTTCCTATTGTCCATCGGCTCTGCTGCTGTAAAAAAACAAAAACTCTCCCGGGCGCTCTGGCCAGGAGAGAATCACTGCTGTTTCTTTTGTTTTCTTTATTCTGACACAGAGCGATGTCAGAATAGAAAATAAATAAATAAATGTTTTGCCTTTCGGCCACGTTCGGGAGCTGTACGGGCTATAGTGAATAGCCCGTACAGCATCCCTTCGCTTCTACTGAACCGAAGGGGTCCTGGGGCCGAAGCTAGCCGAAGGATCGGCCGAAGCTACGGCTAGATCCTTCGGCAGCTTCGTGAATAGACCCCCCTAGTCAAATGCCAACGTGACAATAAATTAAAGAATTGCATCAACTGACCCCTCCCGTATGCCTGATGCTTAAATTTCCAGAAAATTCACATAATTAATCTTGCTTGGGGGAAGAGGATGACGCCAAGTGTGCCACATCACCTGAAACTTCAATTTAAACCCTATTAGTATCTGCCCTTAACAAGATATGGGAATGTAATCACTGCAGCAACCATTTTATTTGTATTCCTTTCTGCAGAGCTGCCTGAACATCAGGCGCACAGAATGACTTATAATTCTCAGCCTAATGCCTGTGACACGCTGTCTCCGCTCGCTCTTGTTCAATTATATAATATCAATGCCTGCTCAAATCAGATATTCTGTTGTACTGACACTACAGGCGATATGTAAAGTTCATGTTTTGGCGGTTTAAAAAAAAAAAGAGCAACTTGTAAAAGGACAACATGAAAACGGAATTTAAAGGGAAAGCTCGGTGTTAACTCCATGGGGGATTTTCAGAAGTCAGTGGGGAATTTATTTATTAAAAATGAATTCACAGCATTACCTACAGAAACCATATTAGAAAAATGGCATCTGGAAAGTGACTTTTCTAGCCAACTTATATCTTTACTCTCATTGCCCCTCTCTGCCTGATATAGCTTTAAAAAGGATGCACACACTTGTATTAAATGTTTAAATTATATATATTTTTTGTAATAAACGTATGTGACAGCAATAGGGTTATTATGTTACAGATAACCCTAGGGTGGGTACTATTCAGGGCAGCACACTGTTTTTTGTAAGGGTTCCCCTCACTTGTGTAGATTACAATCTACCCAAATCCATTATTTAAGTTTTGTATGTATGCTAACAAGTTCAATGGCATGCTAACTCCATACACCACTCAAGAACTCCAATGGTAATATACAGACTTCCTAGTTCTAACCAACTGTAACCATGACTATTACAAAGAAAAATAATGGCGACAAGCACTACTAATACAGGAAGCATTTAAAATAATCTAAGAATACTGGAATTCATGGTTCGGGATGATAGCCAGTCAATAGGCATTTCAGAATAGCAACTTCTTTCATGACAGATTTACTCATGTTGCTTCTCTGAGTGTATATTAGTATATTCCACCTGATGGTTTTACATTTTAAATGGGTTGGGGTCTCTTATGGCTAAGCCCTGAGAAAAGGCAGATGGCCCAAAGACAAGTCACTGACTGTGAAACCCACACTCTGCTTTTATTATGATGCAGAGGATGTTGTCAAGGTGGGTTTATCCAAGTTATCGAAAAGCTGTGGCTTCAAATCCTTGCTGAATGCCAGTGCTGTCATGATTTGCCGTGTCATATTCTGATAGGTGAGCACTGTGTTTAGGTTCAGGGATAAAAGACATAATGTTGGGCTCTGATATATTCATTAGAATTGAACAAGCTGATTGCATTAGCAGCAAAATGTCTTCAACGTTTTTGAGCAAGTCTAGTTGTGGCTAACTACTACTAGTTATTACACATGACCCACTATGACCGGTTGGCCTTGTCTTGGTGAGCAAGGGTCACTGGAAGCTTCAAAAACATATTGCATCCTACTGACACCTTGAAAGGCATATCTTCCAACCACCCAAATTTTATTTTTTTACAATTTTATGAATCCCTAAATAGCACGGACCAACATGGCCAACGAGCAGTTGTTTTTAGGATGGAATAAAGTACGGCCTCATGTGTCATTTGACCAGCTCTGACCCTAATACCGCTGCTCCATATCTTGGAGTCAATTCCATAAGTGTCCTAATTATAAAGTGATCCCATAGACATTACTGTTTTATTGAAGTGTCCAACATTAAGAGTATGATCTATTTTTATGGAGGCTGCATGCAAGTTCATCCCATAAATATTATTGTACACCTATGGTCCACCATAATGTGGTTTTCTAGTGATCAATACTCAAGCGCTGATTCCTAAACCCATTGCAAACATTGAAGCCATTTACCATGGAAAGGAGAGTTACAACTGTATAGTCATCCACTGTTATAACCAATAAAGGTAACGCATTGTGTATCCCTGGTTGTTGCACCCCACAATTGTACTAATTTCTGTGCCATTGACCAACAAATTGCTATTCTAGCCAAGATTTTTGACACCTCACATTGCTCAAAAATGTTGATGATGCTCAGACCAGTCTGGAGTCCTTTATATGTCATAATTTCAACTGCTTCTCGGTCAATCGACTATATTCATATATCTATATAACATAATCTATATGTTTGTGCGTGTTCTAAACACACTGTAAAATGAGATATACACACATATATTCACTCACTGCTGTAAGTAAAAAAGAAATAAAAGAAATTCCCTCACTTGAATTGGTATTCTGATAAAATTGACCTTTTTTCGTACCATAAAATAATTGGAAATGACCATTTATAACAATAATAAAAAAAACTACTGAAAGTACTAAAATTTGCTGTAGAAAACAATGTTTGATGTATTATTACCACTCTAAACTATCAGCTGTAAATCTTAATAAAAGTGCATAATTACTTGGTGTGTGGTTAGTTCCCATTTATATGACCACATCACCAACTTCCCCCCTGTAATTGTTTCTGCAAGCCTCGATAATTTACGCTTCACACTACGATACCAGGAAATAAATTAGGCCATAGCGGGTTAATGAAGACTACAATGGGAGGGAAGGCTGAAATCAAGGGCCAGCGGAATTCATGCAGGAGCCAAAATGACACAAGACGAATTGAGAGAGGAATTAAAATGTTATGTAATTAAAAAGATATATGCTTTTTTACAGAGGGAGAGCAACAACAGAAACTTAAAGTCTGTTTTTGCAGATATTTCTCGTGACTATTTGAAGCTGCAAATGACTTTAAAACTCTGTAAAATTCCAAATGTAATTATCTTCTCTATTTAGCTCAGGGCCCTCTATATATCTTCGTAATGCTGCCTTGCATATAAAGCAGCCATTTCTGAATGCATACTGTAATTTAAAATTAGCACAAGTGCACGAAAAGGAACAGGTTAAACGGTCACCTTTGCCAAGGTGCTCTTGAGACCAAATGTCCAAATATTAATTTAGGTAGGAACAATCGTGTCCATCATATATATTTTTTGCTAGTCAAATCATGAAGTTTTGCTTTACCGAATGTGTTTGCGCAGTACAGAATGCTGACATAGTCTTGGGGAACAGGAAAGTTTGAGCTGGATGTTCCTTTGTCTATAAGATTTTTTGGTAAGAACAATCTTTCTTAATAACTGATTTGTAGAAACTGTTTTCTCTCATTTCAATATTATTTGGTCACAAGTGTTTTTTCCCCAAGCAGAATGAGCTTGTAGCTAACAAAGTCATTGCTGATTAATATAAATGGCTTAGAAAAAGATTGTGTCAGAAAAAGATTTGGTGTCAAGGAACTCGAGTGGCCTACATAGAGCCATGACCTCAGCCCTACTGAACATCACTGGAACACCAGGCCTTTTTGTCCAAAAATGCTCTTTTGAAAGAATGGGCACGCTGCCCACAGACACATTTCATAATCTTGTGGAAAGCCTTCTTAGAAGACTGGAGGCTCTTATACCCACATAAAAGGGGCTAATTTTAATGCCCATCATTTTGGAACTGAATGTCCAACAAGTTCATATAGCTAATGATCGGGTGTCTATAAAAAATATATAGGTCACATTTAGTGCAACGTGTGTCTAGATCATGCACACTAAAGAATTTACATATTTTGAATGAGCAGTAAAAGCACTTTAAAACAAGCACTTATTCAGCTCTGTATCTATAAGCATTGTAAAGAAATTAATTAAAAAAATGTACAACACAGACATTGAAATCGTGGCTTTTTTCTATGAGAACAAATCTTGGAGCCTGCCAGCCCTCTTATGTAAACACACAGCAGGTGTTTCTAAACTGTTCGAAACTAACTGAGAATCGATTTTTTTTGTTTTTGTTGTGATATTTGAGTATCTTTGAAAATGAAAAAACTTCACATTAAAAAAGCTATAGGCCAGGAATGGCTTGTTTTAAAGCTGCCTGTTAGTTTATTGTCCATAGCCTGGGCACAGGTGAACTTGTCCATAGCCTGGGCCACAACAACCATCTTTCAACATATATGTTTTTTCGGGATTTGTGATGGAAGTCATCACATGTAAAATGCCTTCCGTTTTAAAGAACAATGCATATTCTAGTAGAGGGCTTTTTCGGTTCTCAATGGCCCTCACATTGTAACATGAGGACTCATCTTCCCTGGTTACTCTGGGTTAAAGCACATTGCACATTTTAGGATTACCTTATGAAAATAAAGGCTTATGCATAATCATCTATCCTTTGATAGATCTACTAATGATACAGATAGACAGACAGACAGACAGATAGATAGATAGATAGATAGATAGATAGATAGATAGATAGATAGATACAGATGAAAGCCTTTTGAATAGATAGGGGAAGCCATACAGGAACATTTCAATTAGAAAACATGAAGCCAGTTAAATTGGTGACAGTGTTTTACCTGTAACTCTAATTGCTGTACAACTTGCATCTGAACTCGACATTGAGCCGTGCTCCTGTCATCCAATGCATGCTCGTTGTTGAGATGTCTGTAATGACAAAAGAAGAGATAATGAGCATTGGGTAGCTGCCATGCCTCAGATTCAACCATGATTTAGGGTTCAGCCTAAATGGTACAATGGTACATCCTACTTATACAGTTGAGCCTTAAAAAAAAATCTGCTAAATGAGAAGGCGGCAGAGTGGAAAACTTACACATGACTCCAGGATATGTGTGGGTTTGGTAACTGGAGCACTAAAGAATTGTAAGCTTATTTTGTTACATATTTTAAGCTTAATGTGTCATACTCACAAGTGGTGGACCAATCTGCGTTTCAGTTGTGACAACTGCATGATATACGGCACAACAATTGATTAATCCCAAGCCCATGGTTCTGTGAACAATTCTTGACATGATAGAAAATCTCTTTTAAGAGTTTAATTGCAATGTATGATTTCACTGCACAGACACTGTACAAAGAAAACGGCATGACTTATGAAAAATGGTGGAATCCGGTAGATGCACTCGATAATCAGTTTAATGGAAAACAGATTTTAAAGACATTCACTATATTTGTCTATATCTATAGGCAGATATCTGATACAGGTTATTGAAAGAACATACATTTATTTACCCCTCCACCCTTTACCTTTCACAATTTTATAGTGTCCATAAAAATGGGATAGCATTTTAAAGACTGGACCTGAGAAAGATCTTTTTATAATCGCTGCTTATATTCAAACTCATATCATGCAGCTGTGTGTGTTCATGCAAAGTGCAGACAATCACAGAGCTGGCCTTATCTCTGGAGAACAACAGCAACTGAATGGAAGAAGCCCGCCCATTAGATCAAAGTCAGCTGGCCTAAGTAACGTGGTAGTCATCTACATATAATCATTTACTCACCTTTACTATCAAGTTTGGAAGGTATCTATCATAAAAAAGGGCATTATAGAGGTTACAATTTTTTTTCTCCTTATTTTAAATACATCTTTAATTCTACTTTGGACATTTGTGCTCAAATTCAGCAAGAGAACTGAAGGGGTTCAAACAGGGGCGTCCCGAGGGCGGGTGTCACCCGGAGCGGAGATCGGGTGACACCCCGCAGTGAAGTCGCGTGGTCATCTAATTGATGCCTGCCGACGGCCATCTTGGTGTTGGACGCCGGCAGAGAGAGGAGGGGACGTTCACCTGGCAGGATGAGGTATGCCGCCGGGTCCCCTCCTCTCTCCCGACATTGTCGGGCTCTCATTCCATGACCAAGTGCCCGAGTTTTTAGAGGGGGTGACACCAAAATGACTGGGTCATTTTGGTGTCACTCCTCCAATGGTGTCACCTCCCGCACCCCTCTTGTGACGCCACTGGGTTGAAGGGCATGTTGAGAGTAATCACAAAGCTCTTTATAGTTCAGGAAGAAACCAAGCCTTCCATTCCCTTTTTTATATTGGCCTGTGATGTAATGTAGTTGGGCATATAAAGCAGAAAGAAAGTTGCCTCTATCAGTAGTTTTGACAACATGGGCAGAGCTGGTACAGACGGACGCTATCATTTATGTGGGCTAGGGCAAGCATTATGTCTAAATATGGTTAGGTATATAAATATGGTTAGCTATATAGATGGCCTATCCACTGATTGTCCTGGTTTAATCAGTGGGCAGACCACTGAAAGATGATGTCTGACTTGTTGCCATGGGTTGATTCTTTTCATTGTGCCTCAATAAAAACAAAAATGCCGTCACGCACCAAGCTTTCAAAACTATAGATAATACTGTAAATTATGTGCCTGTGCTGCATTCCTGAATGAGTTGACAAATGCCGGTGATTCTAATTCCTAATCCTGGCACTGACATAAAAGATGTGAATAATCCAAAACAAAAGCAAAGCGATAACTAAGAATAAAACAACAAACAAAAAAAAGAAAAACAATAACATAGAACGGTACAAAAATATTTAGACCGCATTCTTTAAAGAAAAGTCATCGATCAAGCAACTCTAACTCTAACTTTAAAGTCACAGTCTTTGTGCTTTTTCTGCCACCCAAGAAGGCACCCACATAACAGGTTGAATAAAATACTCATCAATCCAAAAAAATAACTCTTCCACTTGTTGACCCTCCACTACCTTCCCTTAATTCCCCGTTTAAAAGGTTTAGAATAGATTATGTTCAATTAGTCTTTCCCACAACTACTGTTCCTTTCTCTCCTTATCAGTTCCAGGGCGACTGGTGTTCAAAACTGCCCTGCTTATTCAAGACTCAGCTGTACTAATGATTTGTATAGGCTTTCTATCTTTCTCTCTTGTTCTCACAGTATCTTGCATGCGTTTAAAGCTACAGATATGCTGTTTATGTTTACAATCTACCTGTATATTAAAAACTTTCTCCATCGTGGATTTACCCAATGTTATCCCAACCCAAATGCATAACTTTATATTTAGCTTCATTAGACTTCATGTAGATACACAATAACCCAGGATGTGTTTAAATCAGCTTGTACATTAGGAGATGTTTTACTCTGACTTTATTATATAAAAAAAAGAAAGTACTTTGAATTCCAAACTCTATATCATTCATAAAGAGCTGTGGATTGAACATCATGGGGTCCCCACCTACAGCACCTCTTTGACTACTAACAGAATATGTTTACAGCCTCAGCCTCACTGCACAAACCATGTACTGTGCTGCCTATGCAGTAACCCTCATAGACATCAGTGGGCCTCATTTCAAAAGTATGGTTATGGCCAATCAAGTCTACAGGAAGTTACTGCTCAAGAGTGTTCAGAGAGTGACCAGATTTTTGAAGGAAGGTTGTAAAACATCATGGGAGGACAATGCTGTCGTAAAGAGGTAATTAGGCACGAGGGGAAGCGAGGTTTAGCTTAGAACAGGTTATTGAGTTTTTATTTTAACGTGAACCTATCTGTTGAACCTGGTTTTTTTTTAAATCAATTTTCAAATTGTATCTGAGCCATTATACCCATTACTGGTCTGTGAGGGGCCCTATAACTGCTTTAATAAGTCAAAAAATGCTACAGCCACCCATCTGTCCACATTTGTATTTACTTCCTCTTAAAAGGGATATTCATTTAACAACATCTGTCCGTAATAGGATTGATGCTGGCTATCATTTATAATATTGAATTCTATCACATGTTACTGTATGGTGTTCCCTATCACCCAGGCAGGATTTTATTGATGTTAGTGTCCCAACTGGGGAGATTCACCCTCTTTATTTGTCCTGGTGACCATTCTCACTGAGGCAGCAAGTGATGAGAATTGCAAAATTTACAGTTTTTACCCAAAAAAGAGGTGAGAAGAAATATTCAAATTAAGACACTTGTTTCAGTAACAATTGTCTAAGAGGAGAATTCTCACTTTCTAGAGATTTTCCTCCCACTTTCTGTTGTGCTTTCACGACAAAGAAGTGAAGGAGAATCTCTAGAAAGTGTGAATTCCCCTCTTAGACTGTTGTCTCCTTAACATGGTAAACAATAAACCTGCTGGGGTTTTAACCTTTCCTTACTTAAACGTTTTGGCTATACATAAACTTTAAAAAGGTTTTATATCCAAATGTTTTTAACTAAAAACATTTTTGACTAAATCACATACAATGGAAGCTGCTCCTTGATGTTTAAAGGTTTGCGTTTCCTGTAGAAACAGCTGGTCTCCTGAGCACTGGTCATCATACCCTGTTATAGGGTGGCTTCTTTCCCTTGTAAGGTTCCCATGGAGCCACACCTGTGTGCAATAGTAAGCTATGTTTGTCTCCACAAACCAAACACACAGCCATAGCAAGACAAACCATTCCCCTGCTCCAAACTTCTCCAAGCTAGATGGACAGCTGCTGGAGACTATACTGTCTCTTATTGGAGACAGTTGGAGCCTACTGTTTTTAAACATGATAACTGCAAGCACTTGGGAAAAAACTTAAAGAAATACTTTGCTGAGGAAAATCATGTTTTATCTGGATTCAAAAGAAGTTTGAGAGTTTAATCCTACTTCAGGTTTACAAGTAGTAGTAACTAGTAACACCATCAAATGTCTTTCTTCTAGGTGGAGGACTTTATTTACCCTGGTTAGTAGAATCATTGTGTAAATACAAAACCAAATTATTTTGATAAGTTCAAAATTGTGTCATGGGTGTGTAAACGGTGCTTGGCTGACCCTTCCTTGGCTAGTCAATCAGCTGTTAGCGTATCCCTTGTTCTACCTATGGTGGTATTTTCTCTGGCCACTGCAGTTTCCATCATCAGTCCTAAAACATTGGTCACTATGCGGCTCTGATGAAGGGTCCCTACGAGGTCCCGAAACGCTAGCTTCAGCTTCTAAAGACATGCTGTGACATTTTTCAATAAACATATCAAAGAGATATTAAATTCATCCGTGTGTGTGTGCCGGTGAACTGTTGAGACTATTCTGAGTTTTACACGGCACCATCCGTGTGATCACCAGAGCACCACCACCAATGGAAGGTTGCAGAAAGTAAGGAGTTCGGGTGGTTCTTGGAAACAACTAAAACATACCATGGGACCAAGGTGGATGCTTCCTAAACTTAGTCTAGCCTATTCCCGTGGCTTTCAGACCGTAAGCCCCAAAGTGGCAGGGAGTCATAAATGATTCAGATTTCCAATAGATATTACACAATATGACCATGCCAGATAAATGTGTTGAAATCCAATGCAGATTTTTTTTTTATATGTTACATTAAAAAAAAAAGTGTTGAAACACATTTGGCTTAATGTAAATTGGATCATTCTAAGCAGTTGGGCTGATAAAATACCGCCATTTTTTTTCTTCTTGCACCTCCTCCTTACAGTGATAACCAGTTCTGGCAACAGGCAACCTGATGGTCCTGAATTGAGAGTAAGTTATTGTATACCCCTCCAAAAGGGCAGGATAACTTTGTATGTGTACTGTATAGCTTTGAAAACATTTGTGTAATAGGAGTATTATTGAAATAAAAAGGAACACTAGAATGTCAAACTGAACAAAGGACCACTGCATTTTGGCATCAATACGTATAAAGATACTGACCAGAAAAAAAGTGATATT